AAACCCTTATGTGTAGGTTAGTCATGTTTTTTCTTATTGTATGAGTTGAAACACAAACAATAAAAATAATTAAAAACTCGAATAACTCATTGAATAATAATTATCTATCACTCATAATAATAAAAGAATAGAACCAAAAATTCCAATTATAAGAAAATGTTTGAAAATAAAAAGTCATGATTATCTATCACCCATTTATATGCGACTTTCAGTCGACAGAATGACCAACTCCAATTTAAACATTTTTATTATTAGTTTTAGTGATATTTCTAGTGGGAAAGTCTATACCTTTATAGTCCGCGATACAGACTCCTTTTTATCGAATTAACATCCGACTGAAACTTCGGAAATAGTTTCATCTCATCGTAACCTACAACTATTTAATTTATGAAAATTTTCGGAATTAGGGCATTTTCAATCTGAAAACTCATAAATATCCATTTCCACTTCAATCTTAAGATCATTTGAGCACAAAATCAAGAAAAAAGGTGGCCTTCAAAAATATTGAGCCGTTTTGCGTGACCTACACCCCCAAAACTCCTAAATAACGAGGTTGTATAGGACAAACGGCCCACTATTTTTGTAGACCAACTTTTTTTCTCGATTTCGTGATCAAATTATCTTACGACCCAAATAGAAAGCAAATGAGTATTTACGAGTTTTTAGTATCTAATTAAATAGAAAAAGTTAGTCCCCTCCTCCAGATTAAAAATGCCCCAATTCCAAGAGTTTTCGTAAATGAAATAGTTGTAGGTTACGATGACATGGAACTATTTACCAATTTTCAGACAGATTTTAATAATTCGATAAAAAGAGGTCTGTACCACGGATTATTATTCACAGGTATAAACACATCTCCGGAATCAACTTTCTCACTGTCCGTACAGATATTAAATTTTCCAACTCGAAATATTACAAAAATGTTGAAACTGGAGTAAGTCATTCTGTCAACTGGAAGGCTCATATGTTGATCAGTCGACGAACTTCCATCAGTTATATATATATATACATATATATATATATATAAAAGTCTTGTGACTGTCAAATTTTATTTTACTCTCTCTATAAAATTAAATGCTGGGGTTAACTCTATTATATAAAAACTATTTTAGTAAATGTGTATTTTTTTTTTGTTTGTCAATCTCAACAAATTTATACTCTGGGATAAAGACTTGAATTTTTTTTGTTCTAAACCTATATAGATAGATAGATAGATAGAGAAAAAACTTTATTCTGGGACTAAGTCTCTTTAGAATAAGAAAATTGTACAAAATGATGGAATACTATTGGTCTAAAAGCTTGAAACAATAAATAAAACTGATAAAATTAACTAAAAAGTAAAGAAAACTTTACTCGAACATGCTATATACAATACAGATAAAACTATGTACAAAACATTTAAAAATATGAACAAAGCACTTAAAACTATGAACAAATCACTTAAAACTATGAACAAAACTATATATAAGGGTTGATTATGAACATACACTTTGAGAAATAAAGAACGAAAAAGAGATAGAATAAGTTCATTTCATAATAAAACCTTTCTAGTATATATATAAAAAAATTTAAGTTAAAAAAAAATAAATAAATGTATTGAAATTCCTACATCGATGGTAGGAAAAAATGCATGTACTATCTCTTACAAAGTATTATCGTACAGTTACGGAATGGACTTAATCCGTAAAAAATAATAATAATATTAATTTAACTTTTATTTTATTTAATATGCCAATTGGTGAATCATGCATTGACCTCTCTCATGACTTTTACCAAAGGATAAAAGCACAAATCCCTTGATAGCCAGGTCAAGCTATCTCTGATAGCTTAAAAATATTTATCTAGAATGTACCGACTGGACAGAAGACCCATTATCAAGACGAAGGGAACAATAACCGATTTCAGCAAAAGGGCACTTTCTCACAGAAATCTTAAGAATATTAACTATTGATAACTTCCTTTGCCGTCCTCTTCGGACTTCTCCCACTCTTCACCCCCTCACTATTCTTGGGTACATAAACCCCATGCTCCTAGGAACAAATCACTCACGTAGTTACATTCTTGAAGTCACACTCTTCACTGTAGGAGACCTTGAGTGAACTCATGTAGTCAACCCATTATCCACAGTATATTACTCTGTATTTTAGATTCCATTTATAACATTATGAATAAAACCATTACTTATAAAGTTTTCTCTGCCTCCGATTCGTTAACTGTACGAATTGAATCTTATATATTGAGCACTATATTGAAAAAAAAATTACTGTTATACAATTTGAGCAACGAGTAGTACGGTTAAATGAACCGTTCTATAATTTGTAAAATGGGGACAGAGGGTACTTCCCTAGTTTTACAGTATTTTTATCATGTTTTATCAATGTATTTTTGTTTTTATTTTATTTTCAAAAAAACTTTCGACTTGAGCGCAATTGTCATTTTATGGAAAAACATGTGGAATTTTACCAAATGGAAAGCGAGTTTCGGTACTGTTCGGGATATTTTCCCATTTCGAGAGACGAATTTCCCGACCCCCGAGGTCCTGTTGGAAGCGATAAGGCCCCTACATATAGGCCTAGCGGGCCCAGTATTTCTGTTCCCGTGATTCAAAGCTCCTAAAAATACCCCAGCTCGTTGGGGATCCTCAGTCGGTGCCCAGTTCCCGGAGGGGCAGTACATCTTCTTCTGTGTTCGTCTCCTCTTCGCAACATCGGGGGCCCCAGGGTGGAGCTACGTGGCGGCGGAGGTCACCGAGTGTCTCTCAGGTCTTCTTTAAAATTTATTTATATTTTATCAATTAATCCCGAACCTTTTATTTATATATCAATTATTGTTAACTATATATTTTTGTAATTACCCAATGTGTCAACAACAAAGAAAACACATTCGTAAACTTAATCTTAAAATCGTAACTCATGACATATATAATAACTCTAATTTTTCACATCATTAAAATATTTTATTCTTAACCATTTCGTCACATGATAATTTTAATTTATATTATATCTTTATGGTTATTTTTATTATCGAGCCTATGTAAAAAATAGTGGCACTTCCGGTTAGCCGATTTTGAGGAAAAAGTTGCTGTCACATCTAAGGCATACACATATCTTAAATGCGTAATAATAATACGTAACGACTTTTCGTTTTTGAGCTAGACTGCTAACATACAAACACACAGACACAGACCATTTTTCGGGACTTGGTCATTTCGACTCAGGGTACCTCAAAACGTGTATTTCCGTTGAAAACTCTGATACAAAAATTTTCTCAATCGCATTTACGTAAGTAAAAGTAAAAATTGTTAACATTTTATGTGGATCTTTCAACACAAGCCTGGGAAAAAAGTATTTTAATTATCATACCAAGTTTTTTGTGTTTTCAAATACATTGTATTTTAATTACAGAGTATTCAAGTTATTTTCAGAAAAGGGATTTCAATTACTAAATACCAAAAGTATTTAATAATAACTAAAAACAATATGCAAATACAAAATACTTTTTGGTGGAAGATCAGTCTATAAATTAAAGTGAATCTACTCTATATTTTGTCAAATAAGTAATTTTTTTTTGGTATTTTAGTATCTTGTAAATAATTTTTTTTTTTTGTTTTCTGTGTTTTGAAAAGAAAATACAGTTACAAACAATCTATTTTATATTTTACTTGTAAAGATACAAAATACAACAAATGTATTTTAAAGTATTTCATTTACAATAATGCCAAGTTCTGTTTCAACTAAATAATTAAAATGTTATTCGAGTATAAATATGGGATTATTTTTTTATTTAAATACTTTGAGTAAATATATGTCAAAACTATTACAACAATCTAAAAAAAAAAAGGTATTTATACAATGAAGAATTGTGTGTTTAAGACATTAGAATCGCAATCGAACATTACCTGCTAATGTTTATAGTAGGGGAAACAAGTTTAGTAAGTGAATTTAAATTCTGAAAGCATTATTATTTCTATCAATATTTTAAGCTAAAGTATATTTGAAGTTAGTCTTAAATCCTATGAAGTGGTCTGGAGTACCAGATCTGTAATTGCGATTAATGCGTCGAGGGGCACCCTTGATTTTGACATGCGATCTTTCACTTCAAGCCACCGATATTTTAAGTGCCTCATATGTTTGGATAAGTATGAATGTGTTTTTAACTTTTTTTTATTTAATCATTTTTTTTTATATATGTAATGTTGTCTCATATTTGATTTATTTATTCCAAGTTTTCTTTTCTTTTCTTTTGTTATAATTTTTTATTCTTTTTATTTTATTGTATATATGGTATGGTTGTTTCATACATACCAAATACTCAATGCCCTTAATTGAGGCAAAATATATTTTTTTCTCAATAAAAAAATATATATATGTTTGGAGGTAAATGTCTTCTAAAAACATTAAATAATTTTATTGATTGAATCCAGGTAAAAAAACAAAACAAAAAGTGTAAACAAATATTTTTAATTTTTTTTTCTTCGAATCTTGTCCATACTTGTCATGAACTTGACAATAAGCAGATATGTATTTCTAGTGAATTTGGAAAATTACATTTTAGGCATGAGGAAGGACAGTACTCAGCAACAACTCTTCCGGGTAATCATTTGCTCCTTAATTCAAGAGAATAGGTATGGCTGAGTTTTTAATTTACTTATATTTAGGTTTTTTTTATTTTTAATTGTACATAGTTGTTTGATTATTATTTAGTTATTATTTTACTTTTGTTAATTTTATGTTTTATGTATATATGGTGTGAAGGTGTCAATACCTCACTATAATTATTGTCCATGAGACAGATTATTATGTTTCTAAATAAAAAAAAATAAAAAATACAAGTATAAAAAAAAAATTCAAGAAATGAGATTTGCCATCTAGCCCCTTTTCAGTTCCGTTCTGATGGGTATGTCAGTTGTGGCTATGTAGTTCCTAGTAAGGATGTTATTAATGAAAATAGAGTTTTCTTTGTTTATTTCTTGTTTTCAAGCACAGATTGAAAGGTCTAACGGGGTTCGGTTGTTAGAACTAGATAAAGCCCCGTCCAAACCCAAACCTCGTGTCAAGGAAGAGACGACAGAGGGGCAGTCCATGATACAGCCGGCCAGATACGGAGGCTGCCCTGGACAACTGCCAGCCGAACTCATATAGTAGGAAGATAGTGCCTTATTGAATAAGGTCATCGAACTGCCATCAGCGATCGTTCTTCCAGTTTCTTGCACGGTAAAAGTTTCCATATTTCCATAAATTTCATTATGCGGTAACTAAAGGAACGCGTTCGTGATCCACCTGGCATCATCTGTGAGTTGTGAGGTCATAGCCTTGGTTGTCCAACGTTGTTGATGCGTGCCCCTGTCATATAAATACAATCGTACTATTACCAAGGTAATAGTTCAACTTCCTATAACATATAGGATATATATATCCTATAAATATATTTAAAGAAATGGTAAGTAATAAATAAAATAAAATATATAAAAGCTTATCTGGAATATTACATTGCCGCAGAAGCATTCAAATGATCAGTGTTTTGCCTCTGAATCACTAAGGTACGGGTTCAATACTTCCTTTACCATTGACCTGACTAAACTTATTACAAACTCTAGTGATAAAACTATTCTCCACTTATGGCAGGGGTTTCCAACCTAGAACTGGAGCATCATTGTGCCCGCCTAACTCCAACGTAATCTTTATCGCTCATCGCTTTGGATAAAGTTTTACTGTTGTCTGCTGCAGATCGGAAAGTTTTCCGTTTAATGTTGAACATTTATTTTAGTGAATGCCTAATAATTAATTGAAAGTATGAATGATCACTTTGAATGTTGTAATTTATTTTGTAATATTTTCAATCATCAAGATTTTTTATGTGGCATACTGGAGATAAACAAGTTTTCAATTCAAGTGTTTTAGAATTCCTTTCTTAAATATATGAATATGTAAAAATCCAACAAGAGTTGATAGATATAAAATTCAAAAATAATAATTATTCAAGACATAACCAATAAATATAATCAATATACAAATCTGAGGCATACAACTTGAAGTTTCTAGTGACTTCATATAGAACGATCCAATTGCAATTTACAGATTTACTCCGTTTTGTGCAGTAAACCTAGATCAGGTGAAATACATCTATATATACATTTCAATTTCCTCATGGAACTAATGATTGCCCTTTCATGTAATGTTGACCTCTATCTTTTTTTTTGTTTTGTTTTGTTTTTTCAATTCTAAGACTAAAATATCTTCTCATTCATAAAATAGTGATAACATCTACGCCATCATATTTGATACCTGACACGTCTCTCCTTGGTTATTTATTAATAATCGATGGCTGCAAAGGTTAAGTAAAGTTCACAGACGGATCGATATATGATGGGATCATTAACCTTAAACTTTGAAATCTTCAGGGCTCTTCCTATTTATATCCAAAGACATCATATGGATAAGCAATTTATCCGTTATTTAATTAGAAGACAATATTAAGTTATCTCTTTATTTAATAAAATTTCGGGAAAGAAATCTTATAAGCCATTAATTACTATTCTGGCAAAATGTAATCTATTTTGAGGATTCCAATTTTAATATTAGTTCACTTTATAAAGCACCGAGCAAATGATTTGCAAGTTTCTGCATTCCGAATACTTCAGTATATTTTTTTGACCTATAGGGAGACGAAACTATCTCCATCATATAGTTGCCAAATAGTTGGCATTTTATTGTATTCCTTTTCTTACAAAAAAATGCAAGTGAAAGTAGGATTAGAATTATGTATGATTACGCATAAGGTGGTATTTTCCACGCCATTCCTCTGGTTTGAAAGTTCTTTCAAAATTGAATTTCTACAAAAATATAAATCACTCCTAAAATTCATTAATCCTATCACAATATGCTTCTGATATAATTCGTTTATAGAGAAACGTTAATTTTGGCCATCGGTCCTGCGTTATTTTCTGTAAATGGCCATACCAATTAAGTCTTTTAGTTTCTATGTCGTAGATCATAGTTGTTACTGAACATTTCTTCCGATATTTTTGTTGAAAACAAGCTGCAATTTGAAAATGCACAAAAAATTCATTTCCATTTGTAGTAGCCTTGTCTCACCCTTTTCGGTGTTCATCCACGTTTCAGAAGCATATAGAGTGACGCTTTCCAAAAAGGAATGATATAGTCTTTTTTTTTTTTGACAACTTACCTGCTTGTTCCATAACACGTAATTTAGTGTCCCAATTATCAGCCTTCCTCTTCTGATTTTTCCATGATGTTCTTGGAGGAGCTTCTATTCTCAGTTATAACTATACATCCTAATTTCTAATTATTTCATACACAAAATATATTTTTTTGTTTTATATTTATTTATTGAGTAATATAACATTCTGTCACCTGGACAATAATTATAGTGAGATAACACTACAAGCACACTACATTTATAGAAAATATTAAATGAACAGAATCAAAATAGCAACAAGATATTAATCAAAAAGTATATACAATAAACAAAGATAAAGTAATGATTAGTAATATATTAACAAAAAAAATTTTTCTTTTAAATGAGACTTTTCCCTTGGAATATCAGGAACCAGACTTACACGCGAGTCCAAAAGAGAATAGACTGCAGAAAATTCATAGTATTCGATACAATTTTAAGTAGAAAGAATTTCAGTTTCAAATTCTTATTTTCAAATTCTAATTTTAATTTGATTATCTAAATTGCTATTTCCATCCTTTGCATTATTTACTACAAATACGTTTCAGTGATGGTGGAATGTAAAATGTTGAGGCATTGTTTTAGCAGCAAGGAATTGAACGCTTTCTATATCAGTAGATAAAATAAAACTGTTATCTTGTCTGTTTTTTTTTTCGACATCATTTTTCCTTATTTATTTCAGAACTAACTGCATTGATAATAAAAAATAATACAACCCGTTATCATATACTGTGGGCATACGCAGCTATGATGTTATGTTGTATGTTGTATGATGTTGAAAATTAATTTATACTTTCATGTCGACTAATATTTAAACTAGTATTTTTCATATATAATTATACTGTTCCGTCCAATAAAAAGGGAGCACTTGCGAAAACTAAATGTTTTTTTTTTCAATTTAAGATTGGGAACAGAAGCTCTTTACTATGTATGCAGGCAAACTATGTTTTCTATTATTATGAATAAACAGGAAGTGGATGAGAGATCTTTCCGAAAAAAAAGAAAAATGATCTTCATGTTTTTATCTAACAAAATTTTAAGAACCCGATTTAATCGTTTAATCAATAGAATCAATGGTTGTGACTTTCATTTTAGACTTTAATTCAGGATCCTAAAATAAACCTAAATACTAGATCTGGTTGAGTAAGTAATTTTTTAAAAGGAAAATTAATTAAAAGCGATATATGTGTAGATTCAAACATTATTTACGGAAATATATATGAATTAAATTAATTTAATATATTTAGCATTATTTATATAAATACAATTGAATATTCTAAAAATATAACACAAAATTAACGTTAATAATATTAATTAATTAAAGTTATTTTAATATATAATTATAAATATAGGCAGTACTTATATACAATATAAAATAAATTTTAAACTACTAAATAAGTTCATTGCATGCTGTCTATATTATTTACTCCTTATGTTTAAACATGTCTAACATTTTTTAAAGGATCCAACCCTCCAAATTTTCCATAGTAGAGTTAAACAATACGATTGCTGGCGTTTTAAGTTGTCTATATCTATACGATGTTTATAGCATATATATTACATTATATAACATTACATGTATTTTTCCAAAACTTTGAAGTTTGTTTATTTCGTTTTGCTTGTGGTATTTATTATTCATGCATGAAATATATTTATATGCATACCGTGTTTTATTGTATCATTTTCTATTTACTATTGACATGTTTATATGTTATATATTGTATACTATGCCAGTATTTATCTTTATTACTAGTGCTGTTAATTACTGTTTGTCATTTTATTGCTCGCTATATTCAGACGTATTATTTTGAATTATTGTGTTATGTTGGGTATTATATTATATTTCATTGTTTATATTTAGACAAAGTCAGACATCAGGAAAGGATGTTGTATCTGAATCCTAATGAATTTTACTTTGTATATAAGTTGTAAATGTTTTTCATATTAATTTGTTCATTGTTATCATTATAGCCAACTCTATTTGTATGGGGCATTCCCCGAAAACAAATAAATAAAACAATAAAAAAAAAAATAATAATATATATCGTTGACTTATTGCAAAAGTCGCTAAATGCATTTTGGAGGTTAACTTTTAAAAGTGTTGTTGTGAATTTAAACTTTATTTATCTTTACCAAAACACTGTAAGTGGTTAAAAATGACACAAATCCTTTTATTTATCAAATATATTTACAACAAGCGCACAATTATCTGATTTCATAAAAGAAACATTATTCACAGTTCCTAATTAGTTAAGGTTATGAAACGACGATTTATTATTTTTCTTTAATAATATCATCAATAACTATCAAAGTTTACCATAGCTTAATAACGTCACCATTCTCACTTCGCTATATTCTTCAAAAGTATTTACAGCTTTTATGTCACCATACTGTGGCATTGAGCCAGATTTGAAAAAAAAAAAAAAATAGTTTTCCAGACGAATCTCCGTGGCAGACCGAAGACTGTCCCGATTTCGACAGACTCGAAACGACCTCTTCAATTCAAGGGCTTCTTGTCGTTTACATGATAGTGGATTGCGATCTTAGTTTCGGTTCCATATTTGGTAGCGCGGTGTACCAAGTCTGTTTTACAGGCTCCTGCTTTTTTACGAATTCAAACTGTCGCCTTTTTGGTAGGACGTGAATGTATTTTATGCTCGAGCCAAGGCCTCCTGGTGCAACAAATAAAAGGGGACAAGACTCCGGAACGCTGTCAACTTTAAGAAAGTGCCCATGCAAATTAGGCCGCGCCTCAGAAAAACTTGATGCTTTCAATTTGGATGATTGATGGACTGCAAAATATCCAATTAATTATATCAACTTTGTTTAATCAACTCTGTTTAATACTAAACTAACTTCATTAATTTTTATTATAGATAAATGTCGTCCTAGTAACACCAGAAGATAATTGGGGAAGTAATCTTATCGAGCTTACTCTATATAATCTACTTAGAAAATTTAATAAAATATTGAAGGATTATTTAAATACACAATGAAACACAGTGTGTGCATATTTCAATACAGAGGGGA